AACAACCCAAACACGGGTTTTCAGAATTAGACATCCCCAGTTATTAATTTCATACACTCGCCAAAGTAACGCAATTGTTACTTTTACTAGTAACTAGTTACTTTTATTGTGGAGTAACTCAGTTACTAACTCAGTTACTTTTTGGGAGAAGTAACTAGTAACTATAACTAATTACTTTTTCAAAGTAACGTGCCCAACACTGCTTATAACCAGAGCTGCAAGGCAGAGGGGAGATCAGGTAGGCCTACCCAATGTTATTGCGCTTTCATTAAGTCATTGTTGCCTGTCAGCTCTTTATGACACAATAATGCTGAAAAGTAAGGCTGAAAAAAGCGTGATCAGTTTTTTATATAGATCTATTGATCCTGAATCACTTTTTTAATTGATCCACATTTCATGAGTGTATATTTTATGAATAGTGTATTGTTGGTGTCTTTTCTGTCATTATGTGTTTCGATTTTAAAGTGGGATTGCTGCATTCATTTCTCCCTGCACAACACATTTACCAGCACTGCGGTATGGTACAAATAAGGAATCCTTTATTTACAGCGGGTGTGTTTGGTTTGTGGGTACAATTCTGATACTGCCACTACCCCACATTTTTTTTCTTTTCATTTACTTTAGTTTACATTCAATAGAGCAATCAAATGCTCCTTAGAGTTGCTTAAAGACTTCAAGTATGTTTCAACTAGTTCTTCATCTTTTACAATAAGCTCAAAGCAAGTCTTGGAATTTTGAATGATCCCCTGCATATCTCTAAGCTCCCTGCAAGGATGATATTTTAGGTTGAACTAGCAAAGGTAACTTTAAATTAAAAACAACTATTTTCCATTTCACTGATAAATGTCACTTTTTGACTTAAACATAAGCATTCTTTAAGATTTGACCTCTTTTGTTGGATTGAGTTTTTTTACAACCTTGATCTACATGAGCCTATTATGGTCCTTTTAAAATAGGGAAGCTCTAGTAAGACGTGACAACATGTTGCCCTAAAGGGGATGCTGCAAACTGAATCATTAAATGGTTAAAAAGATGATCACCTTATTTTTTTCTATACATCTTTTAAATATTTAGTCATACTATATAAAGAGAGTGGGGACAAAGCAATGATTCAACAAAACCAAACCTAAGGAAATTCTGAAGCAACAATTTCCCTTATGATCTGAAAGGACATTAAATGATGGTGACAGGTATTTTATTCCCACAGTTCATAGTAAGTGTGTTTAATATTCCCTGAGGAAAATTAAATAGATGAGATTAACCCCTGTGTTTATTTGTCTTATTTAATTGGAATGACCTCTGCCCTCCCCCTGAAGCTGGGAACCCCTCACATGCCCTACCTCACTTCAGTCGCCGGGAACGATCTACATTCCGAGCCTGCTGTCGTAGTCTGAGTTAGGAAGCCACGCCAACGGTTTCCTGAAGGCTGAGCAAATGTCCAAAGTAGACTTTAAATCCAACCACATGCCATGCTAATGGATCCAAACTCTGATATATTCTCTCAAATATTTCTGCCCAGTAGACTCAGTGGAAAAAAATAATCCAGACTGGCTTCCTGTGGAACAAGCTCAGCCCTGCAGTCTCAGTAAACGTCCCAGCCTGAGATGTCGCAACTGTCATTGTTCATGGAGTACTGTTAAATGCTTTTGCAGCTGCTGCAGCCCCCTAAAAATACTGTGTGCCTTGATGACAGCCGAGCGGATAAGTCGGGCACTTCCATTCAGTTGCCAGCAGGGGCTAAAGATAGTTTACTGGACAGTCCACAGCAGGTCACTTAGCCGATTTCAGACACTGTGATTACAAGAAATACTTAAGAAAGTCACCATTTGTTTTGTTTGTTTTTTACAGCCACATTATAGCCAAAGTTTTCCAGAATTTAATCATCAATGTCAGCTGAATTATAGTTTTTTTAAATATGTATAGGTAAGTTTATCACAGGTGATTTGTTTTTCAAGCAATATAACACATAAAACTGAAACATAAAATAATAATTTTGTGTCATTATTTGGGGTTCTTGAGGATTTCATTTTTTTTTTTATGCTTTTGTGCTTGAAACATTCTGATCTTGGTTTAGTGCATCATCTTTCTGGCCTAAAATTTGACTTTTTTTTTAATCAAAGTGTTTCTATAGGTGAGTTTAACATTCTTATTGATGACCAGGATGATAGTTTGTATCAGAGTTCCTTGATCTTCTCCATATTTTGGTTGTACTTAGCAGGTCTCTGGTCCATCACATCAACATGGTTATTCTCTTAAAATATTACAGTGTGCTTTGGCCTAGTTAAACTCTTCACTATCGGTATCCGCTTCTCTGTACATGATGGCATTGCATTTAGTGTCCCTTTGGAAGTAAAAACTACAAGCTATCAAGCCCCCCATTTTTCTTGACATTTCATATCTCAATGTTTTACTGATATCTATCATGGCTTCATGCAGCTTTTATTTATTTTGTTATTCTCACTATTTAGATGATTGTTTGTCTAAAATGGCAGATCTGCAGGACAACTAAGGCAGGAACCTCTGCAGGAGAGAACTCAGGTTAGTGACCAAGTTACTCTGACAGAGGATGGGTATGAACGTGTAAGTCACTAACCCGGTTTTATAGTTTAGTCCGTGCCTAGAGAACAAGGTTGATTCCAGCCGGTCGGCTGACAACAAGATGCAGCAGGCGCCACCCAGAGAGTCCCAGACGCCGTTGTACCAGAGGCCAGAGAACAAGCAGGAGACCATAACTGAGCAGACAAAGGAGGGCAGGGCAATCCAGAGGGTGAAGCCAAAGCTGCTGTTGAGGACGTGCTCAGGATTCAGAACTAGGAGATCAGAAGTCTGAAGAGGTTCCGAGGGAAATCCAGGTCAGTGACAAGAAGCAGTTCCAAGTTCAGTAAACAGGCAGAATCCAGCAGGAGTCCAAAGACAGGTCAGGCAAACAGATCAGATGGGAACAGGCAGGCTCAGTGGTTGGGTGACTGAACAGGTCAGGATCAGGTAATCAGAAACACTAAGGCAACACTGGAACATTCTCACCACTGGCTCAAGAATAATCAGGAATTGATGACTGGTTAGAGGGCTGATTAAATAGAGGCGGGTTGATCCAATGAAAAGTAACGAGAAAATGGGTGGAGTTAGGCAGGTGAATGAAAAGAGTAATCCAGCCAGTCATCAGCACCAAGATCATGACATTATTGTAATAAATGTCTTCTTAATTTTATTAACAACTCAAAACATGTTAGTAGTAGATGAACGTGATGGTGAATTTGTTCGCTATTAGCTAGCGTTGGTTTGTTTTACACAACATTAAACATATTAAATGTTCAGAAATCATCAAATCCCAATTGTTTAGTTGGAAACATTTTTCTTAAATTTTCAAAAACCTTTGGATTTGTTGATCTCTGTTTTGGAAAGGTGAGGCAAAGTTAAGGAAAGCTTAGCCTAGATCTGTACTTGCACAGCTGTATCCATTTAGATCCTTTGTCAGTCTCATACCTTCAAGTTTATAGGAGTCTACTCCTTAAAACTCTGAAAAAAAAAGAATAACACAGTTTGATTTGAAGCAATCTGGTTGTAAAATAACCAACAAAACTCTTAACTTGATCAGGATAAAGAGTGGCCATGTTGTCTCTAGCTAAGGGCAACCATTCAGTGGATCCTTCACAGTGTGTTCTGTCAATACATTTAGTCTGTCTTTCAGAAATCAGACTGGGATAGTTGATTTTTTTTCTCTTTCATATTTCAATAATGATACAACTGAGGTGATGGTGTTTGTACCCATTCCAAGAGGGATCCAGGGACCGAGAACAGCCAATTTCTGTTCTTGGTTTTATCTTTACTCCTGTTTCCAAAAATTGTGGGGGGACTTTGATTCAAATGTTAGTTTATCCAAACATTTTAAAAACAGCAAAATAGCCCCTGTTCAGATAGAGATATTGCTAGAAGATCTCTTGATCATCTCTATCAAAATGTTGCCTTCTTACTGTGTCATTGCATCAATGCATTGGCTAGATGGGGTTAATGAAATTAAGTTTAAAGTGTTATTTGTCTGTCACCTTATAAAATGGCTTCCGCAACGTCCACATCACCTATCTATCAAGTGATGATGACATTTTTGTATATAGATAATTCACATTCAAGTGTAAAGGCAATCTTTACAGTCTGTAGTTTGTCCGCTCTCTGCGGCCATTGTGCAAAGATGTCTGCATCCATAAATGCGAGACCTGCCCCTATGTAATTGTAAAAGCAATTTCTAAGGCTACACAAACATAAAGAATGAAACTTTGAGGTCATAGATGATGATAATTGATGATTAGGGCTCCCAATAGGATTCTGTTCCATGAAATATTAAACAGGCCCAGTTGTTATCTTCTAATATGTTGGTTGTAATGCATGTTAAGTTCCAATTTGAGAACAAATGTAACTGGAAATGCATTTGTACTGTAATTATGCTAACTATACAGTGATTCGATCAGGCCAACCAGGTTAACATTTTTTGTTGTGAAGTTATAAAATCAATTAATACAGGGTTACACTCAGAGACCTTAAAACAAACATCATTGTCTTATAAATCAAGCAAACTCTTTCTCACAGGAGAATGTTTTACAGCTCATATTCTAACCATTGTTTCCTAACATGGAGAGATTTGAGTCTTGGACATTCAGTCCAAGACTCAAGTCTCAAGTGGTAACTTTTTTTTTCCTAAATAAACAAACTTTTAACTGTTAATTAAGTTATTCTCTCAGAATCAGTTAAGATTGTGCTTAGAACCCAATTTATAATTTACACTTAAGGTGTGTTGGTGACACTTTCGGTTTTTGAAAATCTATTTTTCTGCTCTGCTGGAGCTGAAGATGGACTTCTCTTGCCCTCAATATATTTACAAAGCCTTACTTGATAGAATTAAACTGCAGAAGCTCAAAGGACCAGTAGCACAGCTCAAGCTGCAGATTTCCTGAATGCTTTGCAATGAGAGGGAAACTTTAGTTTGTTTCTACACCGGAAACACAAAAGGTGTGCAGTGCTGTAGTAAATCGTCTTAAGAGTGCTTGACATGGTATTAAAAATGTTTGCACCACCATGGAATTATGTACAGTATAAGGATAAAAATCCACTAATGACCAAGTGGCAGTGATCTTTAATTTAAATGTGCATACAAAATTGTCTCTATCATTTCTATATTTATTAAGAGAATTTCACTCCTGAGTTAGAGAAACAGGCTAATCTGTGAGGTTATTACCTTACCTGTGTTTGGTGCAGGTTAGGTAACTGCATATACAGTTTTAGACATAGACCTGTGATTTCTTTCTGTGAGAGGCTGTTGTGTGATTATTAGACGTGTCCTTAACGTTGGCTGCAGCGTCCCTTCAGCTGTTTAGTGCCCCAACACTCGGCACTCCCACCTCCTCAATTTCAGCTGTTGGAGGTAACCTGATACGCATCAGACCTCTCTGGCTGGTTGGGAGACGTTTTGTACCCTAGACAGACAGAGAGCTGAAAGATCTGCTGTGTTTACCATTTAAATAGATCATTTATATTAGTCTAGATTTTGGTAAAATAAAAAAAAAAAAATACCATTAGTGCAACAAAATCTTTCATTTGGAAGATATAATGTCAATAATATTCTGTTACTGGCCATCTATTACTCCTGCAAGTTTTGTCTTCTTACTGTTTCAAGTATGTGAAAATCCTGTCTCTTTTTTATATAATATACTAATTACTTATTTTTTATATTCTTAACTGATTGATGTGCAGAAAAAGCAAAAAATTCCAATCATTCCCTTTTATAGGCCACAAGAAATGATCCAAAGCCACTCTATTAAATTGAATAAATATTAAATATTAATTTGAATTCAATTAATTATTTTCAAAAACGAAATCCAATACAGTTTATTTAAGTGTCAGTGCAACAGGCTGACCTAAAGTAACAGTTTGCAAAATGTAGCTGTGTTAAGAAACCAGATGCATGATGCAAGTAACTTCCAAAAGAAAGGAACACAACGATTAGGATTTGATTAAAATTAAGACAATTTCTTTCCTTCAAATGGAGACATTCATCCTGAATTTTTTGCTCAAAAACAGGTTGCTTAATCACCTCCAATAGTGTGAAAAAATATTGTCTCCCTGGCAGATTACTTATAACTTTAATAAATACAAAATGCAACTTTTGAATGACTTCATATAGTAGATAGGAAATTATATCTTCATCAATCTATGTTAAAAGAATTGACCCCTTGTTGATTTGAGAATTAACTGTGATGGTCAAATTTTACCAGCCACACTTGGACCTGATTAAAATCAAATTCAGAATGTAGGCTGGATTAAGTCTTTAGTTTAAAGACATAAGACATCCTAAGACATCCTAAGACATCCTAAAACAAGTTGCTTTTATTTGAAATAAGCTTGACAAGTTCAGTTTAGGGAACTGGATGTAAAGTTGCCTAAACTGAACTTGTAAAGCTTGACCAGGATCTGGATGACTGAGAATCTTCACAGATTTGTTTTAAATAATTCCATTATAGCTTTGGTGGTAGGTTTAGGATTATTGACCTGCTTCAACAGGGGTCTGCAATCTGCAGCAGATTGCAGACCCCTTCAGCAAATGGCTCTATGAAACCTCTACAATGGCTCGTA